TCCCCCATGAGGACCAGGGCTTGGGAGTTTGAGGCTGCTCCTATCTGTCTATAGAGGGCCACATCCACACTGTCTTCCTGGTCGGTGGCCTGTCCCATAAGCTCTCGGTCGGCTTCTCATCCACCTCCAGGCAGAGCTCCGTGCATTCCAGCTGGTCATTGACATAGAGGGCACACCCCCTCCTTGTCTCCCCTGCCTGTCCTTCCTAAAGAGCCTGTATCCCTCCATCCCAACACTCCAATCATAGGAACCATCCCACCACATCTCCATGATGCCAATAAGGTCGTAGCCCTGCAGGCGTGTGCACGTCTCTAACTCCTCTTGTTTATTCCCCATGCTACGTGCGTTTGCATACGGGCATTAAGTTGGGCCCCCGATGAAGCTGTCTTACTGGCTGGAGTTCCTTTGTGCTTCAAAACAGTATTACAGTCTCTTGCCTATCAGTACTGATTTTTCACATCTCAGTTCAGCAGCAGTCATCCCCAATGGGTAGCTCAAACAAAATATACATGAGGATTGACTCTGCTCTCTTTTATTATGTGGCTAGGAGGAAGAATACCACCATGCTCTGCCTTTGTCCAGGCTTACCCACTGGTCTGTGAAACACAGCACAAGAAGTCTTCACTACCCACCGTCATGACATTATTCTCTCCTGAAGTGTCAAAAACCTGTCCTTAAATTACTTCTTTCTACAGATCTCCCACTGTTCACCTCTTCTCCCTCACTGGGATTCCAGAAACCGCAATAGTCATTGCACTTCACATTTGGCTCAGCATCAAACATACTGGGGCTTAAATGAATAAATACTAGAGATAACGATAAAGCATAACAGGGTAGAAAGGTAGCAAAGCAATCAACTGAACCCCAGAATATTATTTGCAAAAGAATATGGCTGCTTCACGCAGAGTATTTAGGTTTTGGTCAGGGAGGAATTGAGGATTTAATCAAAATCAATGGCAAATTCATGTTCAATTCAAGCAGGCCAAGATTCTAGCCAAAGAGTAAGGACTGATTCTGCAAAGAAGAAAGTCAGAAAGAGCTCCACTGACTTCAGCTGAGCTTTCTGCAAGCACAAAGTTGCCTGCTGTGGCGTTTAGAAAATAGCAGCAACAAAGAAAGCAAGCAGACTTGGGTTCCTCTTTACCTCTTCCATATATTGGGTGTAGACATAACCTTCTGGGACCTGCCCTTGGCATGCTCTGATCCACAAGTTCCTGCACATCAGGTATTAGGACTCTGAGGGGAGGGGAAAGGGGGAGATAGAAAAGAAAACAGTCCCTAACAATTACTGCAGAACTATCATGGTGGGTACATTGCTTACATCAACAAATGAAAGGATTTAGCCTCTTCTGTTGTGGACTGCCTGGCAAATTCATCACCATCAGCATAATGGTTACTTTCATGTAAGAGAAAGTTCAAAGTACTGGGATTTTCACAGGGTTTTAACAATAAAGTAATAATTTTACTACATTTTTTTTTTAAAGATTGACAATTTTCTACAAAAAAAAAAAGTTCAATATCTTCCTTTTCTCAACCACTTTTACTACTGGGCGAAAGTCTAAAATACCACCTTTTGGGAAAAGGGGGGAAAAGTGAAAAATTTAAGATTAGTGTTTCATTGTATTTTATAGAGGCATTTTCAATTTGCAAAGACTTCACAGAAGTATTCACTGAAATTTGCAAAAATCAGAACAAAACCCCTCTTTCCTTCAAAAAGCTCTTCTTGCTTTTTAGCTACAAATTAGTTCAGAAATGAGTATAGCACAGGTATGATTCCATGATCAAGGGAGTCAATAAAACCTTTTCCTTGGCTTCAGAGGACTTTGGATCACACACTGAGCTTTCTCACTGCAATCAGCCCCTTGTAACACTGTTACAAATCTGTGGTCATTGTAAACACTTGCGATAAGACAATTGCAAAGGTAGCTTAAACATTGTTGATTTCAAACACTAGGTGCTAATAGGCTATTCTGCTGACAGTAGCACTGATCGGCATTTCTGGAAACTGCACATAAGAAACTTTTAAGAGGAGTTACAGCTGACTTTCACTCTAGGCTTTGATGTTTATTCCCATCTGAACTTCAAACTAAAATTCAGGCAGTGCAAATTCCCATGAACTGAAACCACACACGCAAAATGCCTTATCAGAGCTCTGGGGAATTGAAATCCCACAGTCTGACACAGTCAGAATATTGATGTCCTGATTATAATTTGTCATTTATGTCTCTATCATTATATACCTGTCATGTTACCTTTCTTGCATGTCAACTGCCTTCTAAAAGGTGGTTCCTGCTTTGAATCTGTTAGAGGAACTTTAACTCTAACATTGCCATACTCATAATCTCAACGCCTTTGCAATACAAAGCCAAAATTTCAGTTTGACTGTCAAATTACCCACCTCTTACTTTAGGACCCTACACAAGGTGGCTACAGTTGTGGCCCCAGTCCAAGGAAAAAAAAAGATTAAGCTGCTAACTTCAGTTTGGTCTTTAAATTTCCACTAGACTCAGTTGAAACCATTAGAAAATGAAGAACCTTGATATAAATAAGAGGTTAAATATCTTCTGGAACGTTGTCTAAGTCCTGAATACCTAAACCTCATGCTAGATCATTTGTACTGGCTCCCACCTCATTTCTCTCCATCCCTGGTTGCCAGGGCATCATACTTACTAAAAAGAGTTTGTCAGGCAAAAGGCAGGATGTCAAGATCAGCTTTAACTCTAAACAGCTTTGAAGTGGCACCAATCCTCCTTCGACTTATCTTTGATTGGTAAATGTCAATGTATGTCCATAGGCCATTTGTCACCAGCCCTGAATGACTACAGGATTGTTTATATGAAATACAGCTAGCTACCGGTTACCTGAAAAAGTCAGTTCCAAATGGGAATGGGACTGTGTGAGGAATAGATCTTATTTAATCCCATTTGGCTTTATAAACACACTTTGTATCTGGATGAGATCTTCTGCTTAGAAGTAGAAGTGTGGCAGATAGTGAAGATGTGTGGCTGGGTAGGTGTGATAAACTATCATGGGCCATTTGCAGCTTGTGGCTCCCAATTGTGTGCGCAGTGGGGACCTGCCACTGGGACCTTTGTCCCAGGCTGGGATGCCTCTGTTTGGCTGGATGGTGCCAGGAAATTCTCACCAGCCTGGCGGGGGGATAAGGGTAGGAAACTGCAGCTTTGAAGAATCATAGAACCATAGAATAGTTTGGGTTGGAAGGGACCTCTAGAGGTCATCTAGCCTAACCCCCCTGCCGTGGGCAGGGACATCTTCAACTAGATCAGGTTGCTCAGAGCCCCGTCCAACCTGACCTTGAATGTTTCCAGGGATGGGGCATCCACCACCTCTCTGGGCAACCTGTGCCAGTGTTTCGCCACCCTAAACTGGGTGAATATTCCCTTTGAAAGGGCTCTTCTCCAAACCAGAGGAGCAACAAAAGACGGGGAAGGGAAAAGGAGAGCTACAGAGACTGCTGCTCTGCAGTGACACTGATTAAATCTTTGGGCTCTCCAAAATAGGGATGACCCTGGGTTCAAGTATCCATGCTTTCCAAGAGCAAAGCATGCTCCTGTAAGTAGTGGTTGTACCAAGTTTGGCTTCCCGACTTCAGACTAAAAAACTGAGCCATACATCTGAGCGCCATCCTGTGCCACTGAGAAGGCAGCAGCAGGGAAACAAGACAGACTGGACTGTCTCAGATCCCAGCTCCAAATTCACAGACCAGGCTAGTTGGAAGGTGAATAAACAGGGCATGGGGGAATGTGCTTTTAAAACTCAAAGGTATATTTAGCATCTGTGCGTTGGGCAGGTCAAGGTAAGTTGGAGGCACTTGGAACAAAGGTTGGTCCTATCGTCAGTACTTGCTGACTGTTAATTGGAAAGGACTAGGTTCTTTTGTGATAGCAAGGAAGATTGTTAGAGCCAGCCTTTCCCATCAGGAAATTAGAGGTTGTACTTGTAAGAGATCTTACGCTGATCTGAGCTGTCTTTCACCTCCTACACCAGAGGAGCTGGGACCCTTATGTGCAGGTCTTCTCCAGCCCAGATGTCTTCAGGCAGCAGGGGCTTCCACAAATCCAGCTGTGCAGAGGAGAAGAAAGAAATGCACAAATCAAGCTCTGTTTTCAGAATGAGAAAATATATTTAAGATAGAGTAGCTGCATAACAATAAATGGAAGTTTTCCTTCGAATTATCCCCTTAACTATTCTCCAGCCATCTGTTCATAGAGCATGCAGCACAGGCTTGGTGTTTCCATTGAGTCAGGCACCACTGATAAGGAGCAACACCTTCACAGAGCCATGCAAGCAAACTAACTTCTTCCCATAAATTCCTTCAGGTAGTGAGTGGAAGGGCAATTCCACCCTACACTGAGAAAAAAAAAGTTAGGTAAAGCTTTTTCAAGTTTACTTTAACCTTCATTCCTGTCCAAAGTTACATGCAAATCTGTTTTAAAGCCCAAGACCCCACTCTGCTTTTTGGGCACACATGGTTATTCTTACTCACCACTAAAGTGCTGCAAAGATGCTGAAGATGCTGGACTTGCTGAAATGTTTCTGGCACAATATGCAAAACCTGGTCCCTGGAAATTCAGCAGAGAAACAAAATCAGTTTTAATGTCTGTATCCATGATTTCATAAGTCAAAAGGAGATGTTTTGTTATGTAGAAGGAAGATAGAGCATGTAACTGAGTGCTGTTCCAACAAAAACATGTCTGAGTGATGAATTCCTGGTATGTTTTAGTTACAAATAGGACTAAGTGATGTGAGTTTTCTGTTGCTAGAGTGTTAGGTTAACTCTGCTTCCTTGCCAGTGGCAATTCTTTATTCACCATACCAGCTTCACTGAAGCCAACTGCTCGCATGAGCCCTGGTGTGTGTTTCTGCCTTTGCAGGACCACGGCCAAAACAAGATCATAGGTAATATATAATAAACTATTTATTTGATAAGATGTCACTTTTTTTTTCTCCTGTTCAGGAATTATTCAATTATTCCAGATAGACTTGATGCTTTGCTGATCTACTTCAGCATGCAAAAACATTAGATAGCCATGATAAATGAACATTGCTAAGAGCTTGAGTTGTTCACAAACTACTTGTCATGAGAATAGCCAGTTTATTCCACAAATAGTGAATAGCATGGTCTCCAGAATTGCATATTCTTACTCAATTTGCAGGAAACAAAAATTTCTAGTACAGGATCTATCATTTTATGTTTCTAGAAAAGACACACAGATCCAGTGTCTGAGTATATATTTTCATGAGGACCCATGAAACTTTCATTTACTACAGACTTAATGTGAAAAAAATATTGAAAGTTTACAAAGAACAAATTAATATGGTTGGAAATGCAGAAAAAGCAAATCTGTATGTTCTATTAAAAAACCCTTTGTAATTATTTTTCTAATTTTTTTCCAGTGTTTGTTCAGATCAACTTTCCAGGACTGATAGCAAGTGTGACATTTCTAATGAAAGGGTTTCATAATGAGGAGTGGATTTTGACGAGTACATTACATTACTCAAAAGTGAGACAGCAGTTATCCACTACTGGTGTGATAGAATGGGGAACCCGAAAAATGTTCGTATTTGTTAGTAACCAATAACTACTGCTTCACAGTCTCCTTCGGTGACTTCAATGGGCCTTGGAGCCTTTACAGGACAAGTACAAAAAAAGAACACTTTACATTTTAAAGCTTTTGTAACAGAAATTCTTGTTGAAAAAGCCTTGCATGTCTTTTTATTAAAGCCATGGTCATTACGGTCATCAATATAATACGCTCTCATCATCTGAACTGCGACTGCTATCATTTGTGCTTCCATACACAAATGTACAATTATCAGCTTAATATACATGCAAATAGAATTCACTATTCATTCACATCATCCACTGAAAAATAAGGGGATTTGGGTTTTTTTACATCTCTTGAAAATATCACCTTTGCTGATGATAGGGAAATGTAGAACTTGATAGTTAAAATGGGCTGTTTACTACTGGTTCAGGAGATGCTGTTAGCATATAGGACCCTCATCTATGGGGCAAAATGATTACATTTGCATTGCTAACAATTTGGTACAACAGCCATGATATCTTTGTAATAAACCTTGTAGATGCAGGATAAACATCTTTGCTAGGAGAATAAACATCTCAGCTGCAGTTCAGAGTTTATTCTCTCTAAATGCCTGGGCTTGCTTTGCTCTTTGTCTATCAGGAAGGGAAACAATATCCTGTAATATCTTTCTATCCTCATTGACATTATGTCTTAATTACACCAAATGAAAGAAATGCCAGACAGTCAGATTGCTGCCAGATGGCCAGCTCTTATTTACTGATAAACCTTTTACAATAGCCAGTGTGGAGACAAATCATTTTTAATAGTAAACTAAGATTAGAAAGCACACACTCGTTTATGATTATGGACTAGGATTCTCAGTGGAGAAGTGCAAAGTCAGCCCATGTGACCACGTGAGAACAACAGTTTTTGAAATGCTACAGTTAAGCTTTCTTACCAAATTAAAGGACTGTTCTCAGCACAAGCTGTTTCTCCTTGGATGCTCATAGATTGGATGTTTCATTTAAGTTGCTGAACAGAGCAAATGACAACGAAAACGGGCTTTACTAGTCATTTCATCTTTGTGCAGGTGCTGCCCACCCAAAGTCACGCTGACCATTCGATTAAGTGTGTTTTTAAATCCCATGCAAGTACTCAACAGGTTCAGGCCCGGACAGCAGTTAGAAACAAAAATGAACACTACATTACCAAGGGTCTGTTGAATTCTATTCGGTGAAATCGACAGGCTCTGACTGCGTTCCTGATACAAATCTAAAGGCTAAATATTATCCAAGGGAAATAACACATTTTAAAGAGAGAAGTAGCGACTCCGTATGCTCTGCCAGGAGCTTTGCCAGGAGACTTGTTGAACCGGTATACTATGAAGGAACTTACTTCCAGTAGGTATTGCTTGATTTTCTCTCCTTTTTAAAACTATATTCTGGGGATATAATTAGTCTAGAGGCATTCAGCACTGGGCTACTTTCTCTGTTTACTTTAGAAAATTCCATGTATAAAGTTATATGTGGAGAGCTGGCCTCCACACTATATTTGTGCCCCTCCTGCAAATCCCAACTGCTGTAAAGGCAGAGTGACCTATCATTCCTTGTAAAGTTGAGGGTGAATGAAACAAAATAGTTTAGATGGGCAAACAGAATTTTATACCACTCATTTTCTTACAAAGCAGAACCGAGAATGGAAAATACAGCAAAACTAGGTATTTCATACTTTTCAGAAATATTAATCAGTAATAAAAAATGTGATAATCTCATTCTCTGAACACCTTGGGGTGAAGATTCTCTGGACCAACCCCATTAGCTTTTTTTTGTTATTGTTACAGATTTCCAACAGGGGTTCAGTGTCTGAGCTGCTTTTGAGACACCATCTTTTTCACGTAACCTCAGCTGTCTTTTATTAATGGATATAATTTTACTCAGTCATCGCCCCCGCTTTATACTCAGAAAAGGCATTTTATTCCTACAGCATCTGATTTCAAAGTTCATTATGAAAGAGCCTAAGCCAAATGAATTTCAGCTAATGGAAGCAGAGCATCCTGAGGTGCATTTGAGGGGCATTCTGTGTCTCCTACGGCTGCGGCCATATCTTTGTTGGCTTGGATTTGGTTCACTCTTTCTTCATTTCCCATCTTTATGTTTTCTTTCCAAATCGTACAAAGCTTACAGCTTAGTAACTCTACCTCCAGGTTTTCAGTTCATAGTTGTTATTATTCTTACACAGTTCCTGGGAATTTCACTGCATGCACAATTCTTCATGATACCCCAGTCACACTCACCCATCATATTGCAATTTCAAGCTGAGTTTTCCAGCAATTAGCATCCCCAGAGAAAAGATGATGACAAGAAAAAGCCACATTTTTGTGCAAAGAACCCAGCCCCGACAGTGCAGGACTAGAGAGGAGGAGGATACATCTGGACTGAACACTTTATTTGTACAATTATAATATATAACCAGACTTATCCTGGAAGGGAACCTGCCCTTGTTGAACCATTAACTTAACTTTTAAATAGTTCTACTTTTTCTTATTTCTCCAAGCTCTCTTCCACACCCTAAAACACAAACACATATAAATAGCAACATTCTCACAGAAGCACTTCTTCTAAGAAGTAAGAAGATTTTTCTGTATGTCACCTTCAAATCTTAGAAAATGTTATGAGACAAAGTTGGTAGTCATTGGAGAAAGTGTTACCTGCAGGGTCCATGGCAACTAGTGAAGATTAGCTTATAAAAGTCATAGGGATGGGAAGAACAAGAGAACAGTGGTAAAACAAGCTCCATCCTTGCTCTCTTCCTTCCTGTGTTTGTGACTTTGTGGAGCACTTCTTTGACCCCTTAACTGCAATTCTGTCACTTGCCTAGCCAAAAAGAGGACATGAAAGAAACAACCAACATTCCTGCAAAAAGGAAAGATGGGGATATCAGAGTCTCATCTAAACCACTTTCAGTTGGACCAGATCAGTCTCTGGCCACAGACTATCAACTTTACACTGTCATAAAGAGTGTTTTTGTTATATACTCAAAACAGTGAGCTGGTTACTATCTGAAATATTTAATTTCTTGCTTAGTTCATATATCAAGAGTAAACAGTTGAATTCCTTCCTTAATAGACTACAGTTAGACATATAGCACAGTTCTTCAGAAAGAAATCTTTTCGCTCAGCTTCTCTCTTGGATTAAAGCTACCCCATGGTGATTTAATGCAGAAAACTGCATGGACTTGGGGTGAAGAGAGTCCAGTAAGTCAGTTTGTTTGTGTACACATGCAATGGACATTAACTGTAATTACAGTAACTTTGTAAATCTTTCTCAGCAAAGTAGGTAGTCGTCTTACATTACATTACAAGGCTGTCATCAAGAAAACAGGCAGCAGAACTGTCCCAGTATAAAAGAGGAACAGCTTAACTCAAAAGTGTGTTCTCACAAAACCAGGCTGCATGCAAGAGAAGAATATGTTCTTCTTCATAAATCACACCAGACCCTTCCCATTTTATTGCCACAGACTACAACCTGCTCAACAGCCTGAACCTGAAAATGGTGAATATTTCCCTCCATGTAGATACCCAACCCACAGTGACTTCCAGAAGAGCTGAAGGAAGTCCAGTTTACAGGATTAGAGGCAGGGCCATTTGTGAGGAATCAGAAAAACAAACTCATGTGGGAAGACCATATTCCATATTGACACTCAGGACTTCTGCTCAGATAACCTTTGCTTTTGCTTCCTTTGTCTCCGCTACTGCTATGAGGTGGACTAGTATTTTGAAGTCTTCTGCAGTGTTGTCTGTGCCCTTTTAGCAGAGCTGGCTTTGAGCTGGGGTTCAATCCCTTGACAGGGACTCAGACTCTAGGAACAAGAGAAATGGAGGCATAGAGTTAAAAAACAAAAGGCTTCACCTTTTTCTTTTTCTCTTGCAAAAAAGATATGCACAAATGGAGCAAATCATGATACGTGCTAAAACTCAACTCTAGCCCAAAGCTTACACCTCCACGCTGAAAGCAGAAGCTATTTATTCTGTTGTGAAAACATTACTTCTATGATGCCATATAGTTATGAAGATAGATAGGATCATTTTGCTTAATGGGCATAGGATTCAGAAGAAATGACAGTTGCTTGCTAGGTCTTTGATTCAAATTCCTTTGAAGTCTAGTTGATTTTAATGGGCTTTAGATGAAAGTCCTGTGCAAATAATCATGGACGTTTCTCACTGATTTAAAAAATGGACTTGTTTTGGGACTTCAGCAGAAGATTTGTTCATAAAAAACAATATTTAAGTATGTACTTAACTTTCAGCTTGCAAGCAGCACTGCTGAATTCAGAATAAAAGCTATTAGAGACATTATTCTGCCACCAATGCAAAAATATCTTGGGATGTAGTGATAGGATGAGGGGTAATGGTATTAAACTGAAAGAGGGTAGATTTAAATTAGATATAAGGAAGAAATCTTCACTGTGAGGGTGGTGAGGCACTGGAACAGGTTGCCCAGAGAAGTTGTGGATGCCCCATCCCTGGAAGCATTCAAGGCCAGGTCGGATGGGGCTTTGAGCAGCCTCGTCTAGTAGAAGGTGTCCTTGCCCATGGCAGGGGGTTAGAACTAGATGATCTTTAAGGTCCCTTCCATCCCAAACCATTCTATGATTCTATGATTCTATGATTTTATGAACAGTTAACTTCAACAAGCCTATTGCCCTCTTGGGCATAAATAATGTCTCAGTAATGAAGTCTGTTCTTTGGTCGGGTTCTTACTGGCAGCTGCTTATCTTTCTAGCAAATGTGGAAGGCAGCTTAATCCACTTATTCCCTCCTTGAAAACTGTGTGCAAAAAGGCATGGGACATTCTGGGGAGAGGAAAGGTTGTAAACATATGGCACAAACATACCATATGAAACCATGCAGTGTCCTTTCTTCCAAACAAGTTTACTTTGCAGTTCTTCCATACGTTCTTCTTAGAGCTTCAGAGCATTTTTTCAGCATCAGTTTAGCCTCTCAACTGCCCTGTGAGACAAACAAATATTATTTCCACTACTTAAAAGATTAATAAAAAAGGGGGAAAAAGTGACTCCCCAAGGTGACATAGGAACACTGCTGCAGAGCCAGGAATAGAATTCAGATCTCCTGACTCCCTGTCTGGTGCTTCCTTAAATATATGACCATCTGCTCTCCTGCTGGAAGTATAGATACTATATGCTGACTCCAACAAGCTGGCTGCTAAGCCTGTTAGTTTATCCTCTTTTTATCCCGTACTGATATCATCTCAAGCTAAGCTTTTGGCCTGGAGTCAAAGTGATTTCCAGTGTTTGAATGATTCGACCTGCTTGTTATTGTTTTAACCTTGCACCACACATATGCTCAGCTATTTGTGACTTATCTGCATACAGTCTGTGTAGCAACAGCCGCAAGCTAGAACTGTTTTGTTTAAAGATTCCATACTGAAGCATACCACATGTTTTAAACAACTATCATACAGCGGTGAGTTTGATCCTGGTAGCTGCCTGCACCCAGATTTCCTACTGAGCTGCATGTAACTTTCAAGGACAAAGAGCTTATTAAAAAGACAAAAAACTTACACACTTTTGTGTCTCCACAAACATCAGTTCATCATGTTAAGCTTTCCCAGTTCCACAGCTAAATCCCGCATTGACTCCATCTGAACTAAAAACCAAACTAGAACTGATGGAATTAACATGATCAACATTTTTTAAATCATCACCTTGATTCTCAGAAAATCATCCTCCAGTAAATCCTTCTCTCATTGCTGCAGAAAACTCACAGTATGTGTCCAAGACAGAATCACCACTCAGTAGGGTCAATATAGTAGCATGCTGACTAATGTGCCTTAAATCCCAGTCTTCTGCTCCACTGAAGAAGGGGGGTGGATAATTCAGCTGTTTTACTAAAATATCCTCTGGTTATCACTGTAGCTTTACTTGGAGGAAGCACACAATGAATTGACAGTTCTGTTTCCTATTGACTTGTCATAGGAGACAGCTTATTCTATAGGTATTGTCTTTTTCTACGAGTACTAAAAGATATTTCTGTCTTTCTGAGCAATGTTCAAAATACTCCAATTCATTCTACAATATTAAGTATATGGTCTTAATTCTGTAGCATATGAGTATTCAGCAATACGTTGTGTGGTCCGCAATGTGAATCATTGTTCCTCTCAGTATGCCAAGTCTTCAGCTTTCACAGCTTTGTTAGAGAAAGGTTTTTCTGAAATTCTCTGGACTCCATTGTGATTTGACAGTGCTAACTGTTCTCAAGCCTCATTAGCTCCAGCAACAATCCTAGCACAAGTGGGAATATACTGGAAGCTGTGCTGAGTTACGACAATTCTCTTCTAGAGTCATCTTGCTGCATTTTCCTCTCTCTCTCTTTCTCTGAGATTACACTGAAAACACCCCATTAACCTTACATTTGGGATTTTAAAGTAACCTTAAACCAGAAAGAATTCCAGCCAACATACCCTAGATTAGAATGACATTACTAGCAAACCCTAAAATTAGTTCTATTAAGCCAACCTTAAGTGTCCTGTAGTTCATCAAGTGACATAGGATACTTAAGCTTTAGCTTAGTGGAACTAATTTGATGATTGGTACATGATCTAGTAATTTCAAGGGATACACATTTACAGATCCTTTCAAAGATTTCTCCATAGTTTTTACAGCGTTTATACATGTGCATACTCACATATTTTGAGCCAAAACTGGAAATATCAGTGTGTTGTGTCAGTGTGGGAAATAACACCTGCCTTTTCTCCACAAGTCTAGCGATGCAGCCTTTAGACAGCTTTGTTATCAGAGAGGAGCTTCAAGTACCCGTTCAGCAAGCAGTTCCTTATGGAAGCGGGCAGAAGCAGGCTGACAAAGTCTGTATTGGTTTAATTAGGCTGGCAGAGCAGCTTCCTCAGACACCATTTTCTTTAACCAGGAAAGGAGAATGTTATTAGTGAATTGTCTTTCCTTAATAACAGGTGGCCTGGGTGGTTATTTTTCCTTCATCCTTTAGACAGCAAAATGTCGCTGCTAAGGAACCTTGAGCTGGTCCTTTAACATACAATCTGAATTCAAGATGATATTTACCAGCTGTTACTAAAAGGTAACAAACACTATTGGTTCAGTTCTAGGAGTTAAGGATGAACACCTTTACGAGGAGTTGTGCACAAAATCCTACAGTCCTTATGTGAGGACTATGGGAAATTCCTATGGGAAATTTGTCTGCATAAGGATTGTGCAATTTAACTTAAAAACCCTAGTAGTATATTTCAGGTGCATGGTAAATTGCTGAACCCAAATTCCACACATACAAGCTGGCTGCAAAATATTGCCCTTGTAGTTTGATCAAAGGAAAGATTCAATTT